GTTCTACCAAAGAATGGTTAAAGAAGAACAAAGTTTATGTTTTGGAATGACTGAGTCAAATTCCGGACCTTAATCCAATTGAAATTTTGTGGAAGGACCTGTAGCAAGCAATTCATAGGAGGAAACCCACCAACATCACAGAGTTGAAGTGGTTCTGTACTGAGGAATGGGCTAAAAGTCCTACAAGCCATTGTGCAGGACTGATCAGCAGTAACAAGAAACATTACTTGCAGTTATTGCTGCAAAAGGGGGTCACACCAGATACTGAAACCAAATATTCACATACTTTTGCCACTCACAAATATTTAACACTGGATAATTTTTCTCAATAAATAAATGACAAAGTATATATTTTGTGTCTCCTTTGTTTATTTGGATTCTCTTTGTCTACTTTCAGGACTTGTGTGAAAATCTAATTATGTTTTGGGTCATATTTATGCAGAAATGTGGAAAATTCTAAAGGGTTTAAAAACTTTCAAGCAGCACTGTATCTATCTATCCATCTATCTATCTATTATAGTGGCAGGAAGGGAATGACATCTATCACATTCGGGGTCAATGGCAGGATTAATACGAGCCAGTCTACTCTTAGAGCAATGTGCTCTGTGGACAGCTTTACATTGTATCGCTCCGTGACGAGCACAAACAGAAGAGGAATGAACCTGAATAAGAATTTATGCCCAAGTCTCTTCATCTAATTTTATACCAATGTATTGGGACCAAATGATACGAAGTGAGTTAATAGATATAGACTGAAAAGATAAAATTGCATTATATAGCGTTGAAATGGACCCTCTTTGACGTGGACGGACACTTAAAATCATACCGACCTCAGAGGTTGGAGGTATGTTTGAAAAACTTAGAAAAAATGTTTGCGCGTGACATTTCTAATCTGTAAATATCTTAAAAAAAAAATAAAAGACTTTAGGAATATTAAAAGAGTGTATTAACTGCGAGAAAGGCACAAAAATATCATCAATATACTAGTTCGCAAAAGAGACAAGACCATCCATGGAGCATTTGCCCCTTGGAAGGATTAGAGTGTATAGGAGAAGACAAGGGAATGGTCTGAATCCCAAAATATCGCAAAAACTGTGTCCAAATATTAAGACTATTAGTCACTTAACATGTTTTTAGAATAGTTCACTTCAGATAGTGTGGTCGGGAGAAAGAGGAGCACAGACAAAGAGGAAAACTTACAAGAGGTATTTTCAATGCAGAGCGAAGATGGGACAGACTCAGACCCATCTGTGTGAAACCACCGGAGCATTGACCGCATATTTGCTGCCCAATAAAAAAAAAAAATTTGGGGAGTCCAAGGCCACCCAATTGTTTAGGTTTTTGCAGGACACTCTTAAGAATCCTTGGGACTTTGTTGTTCCAAATAAACTGAGCGATCAAATTATCAAGTGAAAAAAAGATTTTGGGATAAAAATTGGGAGGCACTGAAAAAGATATAATAGTTTAGGAAGTGCATGCATTTGGATACAGTTAATTCTACCTGCTAAAGACAGAGGTAAGAGGGATCAACACGTAAAATCTTGAGCTAAATTATTCATCAATTAGTGAAGTTATTATCAAACAAATCTGAGAATGCTTTTGTCACACAGATGCCTAGATACTTAAAGTTATAGCCTGATATGCGACCAAATTTTTCCAATAGGATGATGTTGTGCAAAAGGCGATAAAGACACTGATGGTGCGCTGTCGCATTGACTCTGTTGGAGACTTTGATTATGAAAGACGCGCATCACGTAGCGGTACGCTACGGGCAGATGTCAGTATGAGGAAGCTGACAGTCTGTGTCTGTGGCAGTTAGCGATCGGTCTCTCTGCATAACGAGCACCAGAGATGTTCATTATCATTTATCAGCCTCAGCTTGACTGTTGTTTTGTTAGTTGTGACGCAGTTATGAAGCGAGATATGCTACATGATAATGGTAACGCACACGCTTCATCTGATGTATCTACGATTGCAGTTAAAGTTACAATGTTAATACCTTTATTATCGATCATGTAGATATCAATGAATGTGATGTTATATTCAGTGTTTCTACTATGGTATTCCAGCTGGAGGGGAGCAGCCTATAATGAAATTAAAATCACACACAATATGACAACAGTAACAACACAGGGAACAGATATAACCTAATGAAAGATTAAAATTTATTACACCAGTTCAGAAAAAAGCAAAGCAACTCCATACTTATACAGCTTATACAGTTAAACCAAATTCTTTTGAAAAGCTTGTTTAAGGGTTTAACTGTTCATGTTTTTCACCCACTAACGAAGTTGAAACACTGAAAGTCAAGATTAAACTGTGTATCATAGCGAACTGACAGGATTTTACCGTCTTTGAGGAGCGACTGAGAAAACCGGGAACTGAACTAACATTAGTCAAAATGGTGCTTGAGGACGTGGATCAAAATGGTAAAATCAATGTTGTGAGAACATACTCGGACAAAACCCTCCAGTTTTAAAAGAACACATTCCAGTCAGTTTAAAAAATCTCTCTCCTCTTCGTTTCGATTAGTTTTATTGTATTTTCTACACATATTCCTGTCAGGAGCGCCGCAAACACGGATAGACTCGTCTCGTGCGCCATTACAGCTGTTTCCAGTTCGCGCTCACCACATTCACTGCTCCAGTTTTAAAGGAACACACTCCCAGTTTCAAAGTTGTCCCTCGTTTACGCTTCGATTAGTTTTCTCCTATTTTCCACACGTTCCCGTCTTAAGCACCGCAGTCACGGATTTCGTCGCACACAGAACCGTTCACGTTTGAACTCACGTGACTTGCTGCATGCTCTCATTCACGTCCTCCACATTAATAACCCAGCAACTTCGGGTTACTTATTAATGATATCAACCCAAATTGGGTCAAATCAAGCCAGCTTCCTAACCCAACAGTCTCATCCGAGCGTTTGGATTGAAACAATTACCAGCGTGTTTTTTATGTGTAGGCTATAAAAAAGTACACCTACACAGAGGTACTGAATAGGTACCCTGTAATTACAAAAAAGTTACGCAGTACATTGCGGGTTGTAATCTAAAGCGTTACAGAATAATTTAGAAACATTCTAAGTCATTTTAGAAACAACAGTGAAGAACAAAATTTTAAATAAACCTAAGTCTCTCTTAAAAGTGTTGCAGTCTCTTCTTCAGCTCCCTGAACAAGAACGGTTTGAAAAAAACTTCTGCTTTCCTTCATGAAAGAGCAAGCAAACTGCAAGTGACACATATGCTACTCCGTGAGTATTGTTCTAAGCTCAGAGCTGCAGAAAGAGTATGGCGCAAATCACAAAATCTTACTGACCTTAATGTATATCGATCACTCCTCTCTTCATTCTCTGCTAATGTCTCCACTGCTAAAAGGCCATACCATCACAACAAAATTAACAATTTCCCTAACTCTCGCATGCTCTTTAAAACATTTTCCTCCCTCCTTTGTCCTTCTCCTCCCACTCCTTCATCAACTTTAACAGCTGACGACTTTGCCACATTCCTCATTAATAAAATTACAAACCTCAGTGCACAATTTGCCACACCACAAACTGTCAAACACATCTTACCAGCAAACATACACTCGTTTTCATCCTTCTCTCCACTCTCTGAGGCAGAAGACTCTAAACTCATCCTTTTCAATCATCCTACTTCTTGTCCGCTTGATCCTATTCCATCTCATCTCCTTCAAGCCATTTCTCCTGCAGTTGTACATGCACAACCTCCTGGACAGCAACCAATCTGGCTTCAGAAGTGGACATTTGCTGGATCTGTCTGCTGCTTTTGATACGGTGACTCACCAGATTCTCCTGTCAACCCTATTGGAAAATGGCATCTCAGGAACCGCACGCCAGTGGTTTGAGTCTTACCTCTCAGATAGGTCCTTCACTTTATCAAAATTTCACCATCCAGTTAGGCTCATCAACCATAACTCCTTCAAAAACAACTAGAAACTTTGGAGTTGTGATTTATGATAAGCTGAATTTCTCAGACCACATTGCTAAAACTGCCCGGTCCTGCAGATTTGCTTTATACAACATTAGGAAGATCAGGCCCTTTCTTCCAGAACATGCAACAAAACTCCTTGCTCAAGCTCTTGTTCTATCCAGGCTGGACTATTGCAATGCTCTCTTGGCAGGTCTTCCAGCCACTTCTATCAAACCTCTACAATTATTCCAAAATGCCACTGCAAGATTAATCTTTAATGAGCCGAAAAAAACCGCATATCACACCTCTGTTCATCAATTTGCATTGGCTACCAGTAGCTGCTCGCATTAAATTCAAGGCATTAATGTTTGCCTACAAAACCACCACTGGCTCTGCACCCATTTACCTAAATTCATTACTTCAGAGTTATGTGCCCTCTAGAACCTTGAGTTCTACAAGTGAACGGCATATTATTGTGCCATCTCAAAGAGTGGAATGACCTGCCCAAATCAATCCGAGCAGCTGAGTCCTTAACCATCTTCAAGAAACGACTAAAAACACATCTATTCCACCTTTATTTGACCCTCTAACTCTAGCCCTTTCTATTCTATTTTAATTCTACTTTCTATATTTATTCTTTTTTATAAAAAAAAAAAAACACTAGCTTCCTATTTTTTCTACTCTATCTACTTGTTTTTCTTTGTGTGTGTGTGTGTATATATATATATATATATATATATACATCTTGCTATATGTACTGCGTTAGGCTAACCGAGACTTGTCATTTGCACTTATATATTGTTGCTCTTTTGTTAGTTTTGACTGCTTTTATTGTCCTCATTTGTAAGTTGATTTGGATAAAAGCGTCTGCTAAATGACTAAATGTAAATGTAAATATATGCATTATAAGACAATTGAACAACATATGAACCAAAATGAAAAACAAGAATACATTTTTTTGACATTGTTCATCTTTGAGTTGATATGAATCTCACAGTTGAATCTGCTGGTTTTGAAGATGAAGATGAACTTTATTCACTGTGAAAACTTTAGATAATGTTTCTTCGTCATGTCACTTGTAATGACAGATTTATCCAGATGATATTTTATTGCTTGATTCATTATTGTGTCACATTTGGTGAGGACGCAGCATCAGACCTGAAAGTGCTGGATCTGAAGATGATCTACTTACTGTGAATGTTGTTTGTATGTCTGTGTAGTGCAGAAGATTGATTGAAACACTTCCCACATGCAGTGCAGTGATACGGTTTCTCTCCAGTGTGGATCCTCTCATGTGTTTTCAGGATTCCAGACTGACTGAATCTCTTGCTGCAGTGTGAACACTTGTAAGGTTTCTCTCCAGTGTGAATCATCTTATGTCTTTTCAGGTCTCCTGACTGACTGAATCTCTTGTTGCAGTGTGAACACTTGTACGGTTTTTCTCTAGTGTGAATCCTCTCGTGTCTTTTCAGGATTCCTGAATCACTGAATCTCTTCTCGCAATGTGAACACTTGTAAGGTTTCTCTCCGGTGTGGATCCTCTCATGTGTTTTCAGGATTCCAGGCTGACTGAATCTCTTGTTGCAGTGTGAACACTTGTACGGTTTTTCTCTAGTGTGATTCCTCTCATGTCTTTTCAGGATTGCTGAATCACTGAATCTCTTCTCACAGTGTGAACACTTGTATGGGTTTTCTCCAGTGTGAATCCTCTCGTGCTGTTTTAAACAGTCTGCTGTAGTAAAAGTCTTCTCACACTCAAAGCACATGTACTCTCTCACACCAGTATGTAATTTCTGATGTTCTTTTAAATATTGTAGACGTGAAAAACTTTTTCCACACAAATGACATGAATGTGGTTTCTCCTTTGTGTGAACTTTCAGGTGTGTTTTCAGGACTGAAGCACTCAAAAATGTTTTCCCGCATTGATCACGTGTGTACGTTTTCTCTCTAGTGTGGATGTTCTTGTGTAACTTAAGGGTTGCTGATCGTGCAAAACTCTTCCCACACTGATCACAAGTGAACGGTTTCTCTCCAGTATGAACTCTCATATGCTCCAAAAGGTTCCCTTTTATTGTGAAACTCTTCCCGCACTGATCACATGTGTACGGTTTCACTCCAGTGTGGATCCTCTCATGTATTTTCAGAGTTGCTGACAGTCTGAATCTCTTGCCACAGTGTGAACACTTGTAAGGTTTCTCTCCAGTGTGGATCCTCTGGTGTTGTTTTAAACAGCTCGCTGAAGTAAAAGTCTTCTCGCACTCAAAGCACATGTAATCTCTCACACCAGTATGTATTTTCTGATGTATTTTCAAACTTTGTAGACGTGAAAAACAATTTCCACACAAATGACATGAATGTGGTTTCTCCTTTGTATGAACTCTCAGGTGCTGCTTCAGGTCTGAAGCTCTCAAAAATGTTTTCCCGCATTGATCACATGTGTACAGTTTCTCTCCAGTGTGGATGTTCATATGATCCTTAAGGCTTGATGATCGTGAGAAACTCTTCCCACACTGATCACAAGTGAATGGTTTCTCTCCAGTATGAACTCTCATATGCCCCTTAAAGTCTCCTTTTTGTGCAAAACTCTTCCCGCACTGATAACATTTGTGCGGTTTCTCTCCAGTTTGGATCCTCTCATGTTTTTTCAGATTTCTTGACTGACTGAATCTCTTGTCACTGTGTGAACACTTGTAAGGTTTCTCTCCAGTATGAACTCTCGTGTGAACATCAAGACTATATTTGCATGTCAAATTCTTTCCACACTGAGTACAGGTGAAAGATTTCTTGGCTCTTGTTTTCCTTAAAATTATCTGTTTGCTTTGACAGCAACTCAAAGGGTTTTCTCCAGTTTTGAAGTGATTTTTCCCCTCAACTTCACTCAATTCTTCATTCTCATTTTCTTCAATCAACTCTGAAATAAAAGCAAAAACAGTACATTTGTCAGTAACGCATAAACAAGCGAGTGAGTGATTGATCGCTGAGTGATGCAGTCGTCTGAGGGCCCAAAGACCACGGACACCCAACAAAGGTCTTCGGCCTTGTCCCTTACGCACAGAGATTTCTCCAGTTTCTCTGAACATTTTGATGATGTCATGCACAGTAGATGATTAGATTTGCAAAGCCTTTGCAATTTGACGTTGAGGAACATTGTTTTTAAAGTATTCCACAATCTTTTTACGCACTCTTTTACAGATTGGAGAGCCTCTGCCCATCTTTACTTCTGAGAGACTCTGCCTCTCAAAGACATCCCTTTTATAGCTAATCATGTTACAGACCTAGTGTAAATTAACTTAATTAGTTGCTAGATGTTCTGGGGCGGCGGTGTTGCAACATTATATAGTATATAGTATATATCTACCCGCTTAAATGATAGAAGTACTTGCGCTGTACAATCTATAAAGACTGTGTCTGTTCCACGAATAGTGAGGTCAAAATATAAATTTAATGCTGGATTTAGAAAAGAATCTGATCGTGATTAAACCAGAAAAAATGTAAAATAAATGAACTAAATGAGTCTACTCCACCAAGCTACTGTTACAAGCATGAGTCCCGTCAGACTGGTCATGGCAGCGGCATCAGAAATACAATAACAAATGTAGATTCCACAGAAACTGCGCTTGTTAAAATTACAAATGATTTGCTTCTTGCGTCAGACCAAGGCTGCATCTCATTAATCGCTAGCACTTTGTTTACTTAAACGGGGAGTCATCTCAATTAAATCCAGTATGGAGTGCCACAAGGATCTGTCCTAGGTCCTCTGCTATTTTCAATATATATGTTGCCCCTTGGTAATTGTGGCAGTATGAAAAAACATATGAGGATTTTTAATGTGTTATGGCCGAACAGAGGAGGGAAATCAATTATCCGGAAGTGAGGAAATGTGTATTTAAGGTGGAGCTGCAGGAGAGCGCAGCAGTAATTAGCAGACAGATGCAGATCGAGTCAGATGCTGTCGCTGCATTGTGGAGACCTCGCTGTGTTTGGGCAGGGTGGATCGCTACGAGCGTGAGTTGCCGGGCGATCATTTGAGTGTGCATGCTGCACCTCCGGACACCAGCTGCAGAGCGAAGCAAGTCTCTTATGCTGACAAGTGCGAGCGGGATCTCAAGGTGAATTGCTGTTGTTCATCTCTTAAACCTCATGTTAAGAAAACTTCCCCCTGCCATTAGCGGCCAGGAATCCACTCGTATCTCAAAAACACACACACTCTTTTTTGTCACACGCAAACATCCACAAACATTAACGTGCGCACTTTCACGAAACACTTAACGTTAGTAATCCTTGCTGTTTGGTATTTGTATTATCTACAAATATAATCAAGAGTTTAATGATGTTTAATGTGATCTAAGAATTCTATATTTAATGTTTTCTTCCATGTTTCTTTTGTCTCTTGTTACTACCTTCTACACATTGTATCTCAAGGAGTGCTGAATCTGCTGAGGTTTACATGCATCAGTGAAACTGCTACCTCAGAGGCACCTTCTTCCATTTTCTTTCAAGTTTTATTATTTCCTTGTCATTGTTGGACTACAAAATCAGTGGAAAGACTATATTGGAACTTAGCCACAAAGCTTGTTTTTTTTTTTACTTTGGTGGATTGTTGAAAAATATGATTGTGAACCAAAGTACTAAGTTTTCTGTTTGATTCCATATTGATTGTTGAAAATATCTCTGTGAAACTGAGGTTGCATTTGTGCATTTGAACTTGAAACAGAATGCAAAGTTCTTCTCTGTTTGTTTGTTTTTTTTATTAACTGTTAAATTCAACTTTGAAACTATGAACCTGAACTTATTTTGTCTGGACATTTCATTCAAATAATTTTTGTAACCGGTGGCTTAAAAAAGCTATTCTGGGTAAAACGGTTATATTTGACAAGACTGAGCTTGTCTGGTGCCCGAACTAATCAGATCCGATTGTTAAATTTGTTAAATTTGTTTTTTTAAATAGTTAATATTCTCTCCTTAATCTGATATAAATTTTCTTTTCTTTCCGCTACATAATATTATTAGAAAATACGGGATTAGTTTCCATTGTTATGCTGATGATAATGAACTATATATCTCAACAAGACCAGATGAAACTTCTAAATTATCTAAGCTAACAGAGTGTTAAAAATGTAAAAGATTGGATGACCAATAATTTTCTCCTATTAAATTTGGATATTACTTATTGGGCCAAAAATCAGTTCACAGAATATCTTGGATTACAATTTGCAACTAGACGGATGTACTTTTACTTCCTTTACAGTCAAAAATCTGAGTATTATATTAGATAGCAACTTGTCTTTTGAAAATCATATTTCCCATGTTACAAAAACAGCATTCTTCCATCTTAGAAACATTGCCAAGTTACGGAACATGTTACCTGTTTCTGATGCAGAAAAGCTAGTTCATGCATTCATGACCTCTAGACTGGACTATTGTAATGCACTGCTAGGTGGTTGTCCTGCATCTTCAATAAACAAGCTACAGGTAGTCCAAAATGCAGCGGCTAGAGTCCTTACCAGGTCAAGAAAATATGATCATATTACCCCAATTTTACAGTCTCTGCACTAGCTACCTATTAAGTTCCGTATCAGTTACAAAATATTATTACTTGCCTATAAGGCCCTTAATGGGTTAGCTCCTGCATACCTAACTAGTCTTCTACCACGCTTCAATCCATCACACTCCCTAAGGGTCGCAAAACTCTGGACTTTTGGTAGTACCTAGTATAGCAAAGTCCACTAAAGGAGGTAGAGCTTTTTCACATTTGGCTCCCAAACTCTGGAATAGCCTTCCTGATAACGTTCGGGGTTCAGACACACTCTCTCTGTTTAAATCTAGATTAGAGACACATCTCTTTGGCCAAACATTCAAATAATGCATCTCATAATCTTGTACTGCAGTTATATCTGATCAAATGCACATTACTATTCTTTAGTTTGGGTTAAACAAATCAATTTTGCTTGGTTGGAATAGCAGCTACGCTAATTATGTCTCTATTTGTTTCTCTGTTTCTGCTGGGATTGACATCCCGTGGTAACTAGGATTTACACAAGCTTCAGTTTGGATCCAGATCACCTGAGAAGAGATGATGCCAACCCCTCAGAGGACCTTTCAAAATGTCTTGCTTTTTCAGCCCTTTGTTGCCCCTGTGGCAACTTTTTTGAGACCTGTAGCAGGCATCCAATTTAAAATGAGCTAATTTAGTGGAAAAAAAGTATAAAATTTATCCGTTTAAATATTTGTTATGTTCTCTATGTTCTATTGTGAACAAAATATTGACTCATGTGATTTGAAGTCTTTTAGTTTTCATTGTATTCAAATTTAAAAAACGTCCCAACATTTCCGGAATTCGGGCTGTACTAACCTGTTTCTTCTTCAGTATCTTCAGTATGTTTGATTCTGCAGGGTTCTGGATCTCTCATCTTCTCTCTGTCCTCTTTAATAAACTCAGTCTTTGCAGATTTCTTCCTGATGATTAGATGCTCGTCTTCACTTGTGAACTGATGGGGATATTGCAGCATTTACTGCTGAATGTGTGATTGTTGTGAGGAGCTTCACTGAACATTAATTTCTGTGTGGAAGAAGCAGATTTGCCAAAATAAACAATAAATCAGTTTACTTATTTCTAACGAATTTACACATTTAAGCATTAATATAAGTAAAGCAGATGTCCTCCAAATTCTATCTTTAAAGAGTCCAGAGCCTTAAAAATACAAAGTGTTGTGCTCTCTTTGTAAATCATTATATTACTATATTAAAAGTAACAGTGTCGACACAAAGAGCACATCAGTTTAAAATGCTCATTCAGTTACACTGCACTCACATATGTGCACAAACCAGTCATAAGGGTCAATTTTGTGAAATTCAGATTTATGCATCATCTGAAAGCTGAATAAATAATCTTTCCATTGATGTATGGTTTGTTAGGATCAGACAATATTTGAAAATCTGGAATGTGAGGGTGCAAAAAAATCTAAATATTGAGAAAATCATCTTTAAAGTTGTTCAAATTAAGTTCTTAGCAATTCATATTACTAATCAAACATTAAGTTTTGATATATTTACGGTAGGACATTTACAAAATAAGAGTGTAGAGCACATCAGTTTAAAATGCTCATTCAGTAACACTGCACTCACATAAGAGGTAATTCACACATTCTATGTATTTCTGTTGTCCGTCTTTCTAAATAACAGTAAGAATGAAAAATAAAAGCATAAACACAGAAATCTGATGACACCCATCGCCATTAACAACTAGTGTAAAAACATCCTCCTGAGACCCGGAAAAAAAAACAAGTTTTGTGAATTTATTAAGCCTCGTACACACCGGGATGATTATCGCGCGCTTATCGCCGACGTTTTTTGACGCGTCTTTTGTGTTCATACCCAAGCGATTTCACTGGCGATGAGCCGAGTGAACGTGCAAATTCACTCCCTGACATTAGATGGCGCTTAATGAAAAACAGAAATACCCCGGTACACATCGAATCCTATTTGATCTGCAATTCCTCTCCATAACAACTCCCTCTTATTGAGATTTTTGTAGTCGCTGTCGCATTTGTCATAAAGCCCTTTGTGTTCAGACACCAATGAGACCAGCAGCTCTACATTCATCTTGCCTCGATGCATCTTCTTGGTCTACTTCCGGCTTCACTACCGTTCGGACGTTCTTGCTTACTGCTCTGCGCTTTGCTCCCTGTTTCTGTACTTTTCTCTGATTTTTCTAAGATTTTTACTGCAGCAGATCAGCACAGTGCTCAAACAACACATTTTTGGCACAAACACTAAAACTAAAAA